GCAGCGTCCCCGCGGGGTGTGAGGTGCCCTCTTCCTGACATGCACCCTCTTCTGTGTTCCTCTCTCCTGTCCAGCCTGCTGGGGTCCATGTTCCCCATGCCTCGGGTCATTTATGCCATGGCCGAAGACGGGCTCCTCTTTAAGTTTCTGGCCAAAATCAACGACAGGACCAAAACGCCCATCACCGCCACGGTCGTCTCCGGGGCCATCGCCGGTAAGAGGGGAATGGTTTTTGCACCCCGGTCTTCGGTTTGGTTTTTCTCTGCCGACACGCGCTGTGCCTGCCTGGAGCCTGGCTTGTGGAGCGGAGGCTGCCTTTTTGTTAAACGATGGAGGCGGGCGGGCCTCTCCCCAGAGCGAACCCTCCCTGTCCTCTGTGGGCTGCACTCAGCTCGAAAAGCACACGCCCACCCACCCACCCGCCCTCAGAGTCACCACCCATGGGCGCTTCCCCGAGGAGATTCTGGCAGGGCGTGGTGAGCGCCCGTGGGAAAAACACTCCCATGCAAAAACAAAGAACCAAAGCACACCCCACTGCCCCCGAGTGCACCCCAACACCTAGGGACCCAACAGGAGTCTCTGGAAAACCGGGGTCCCCAGGGGACATCGAGGGCGTCCTCGACCCTGCCTGGGCCCTGCTGTTGTCCTCGTTAGCACTGGGACCTGCATTCAGGAGCCGGCCCCCTATGGCTGTGTAGGGTAGGTGTTGGGGCTGCTCACCACGAGGTCAGCTGGTTTGAAGCCAACGGCTGCTCCTTGGTGGACCGGTGAGGCTGCCTGCCCCCTAAAGAGTTGCAGCGGCGGCGGAAGCCCTGGGGAGAAGCTCTGGGAGTTGGAATTGGTTCGGCACTGTGGCCTGGGTGTGGTGGAATGGCTCCAGGGCTAGTGTGTTCATCGGTCACAGATTCAGAATAGCTACCTTGGCGGTGCAGAAGTGCAGGGATGACCCCGTGAGCCCAGGAGTGCCCAGACTCTGAGTCAGCATGGTTCAGAGGGGAGTTGGAGGTGCCTAGTTCAGATCCTCCCTCCCCTCTTAACACCAGCCATCGTGAATTTAGGCTGGTCCACGCTAGTTTCTCCGCCTGGAGTGCAAAGATTGACTCCAAATTCCCATTGGGATGAGGATCGTGCATCTGTAGAGAGGTCCCTCTGGATGAAAGTCCGGAGCTCCCTGCCCCAGGGGTGGGGTGTAGGCAGTGGGGTGGTTCTGGCCGGGCGCCGCCCTGACATCTGCCTGCTCCTCTCTAGCGGTGATGGCCTTCCTCTTCGACCTGAAGGACCTGGTGGACCTCATGTCCATCGGGACGCTGCTGGCCTACTCTCTGGTGGCCGCCTGCGTGCTGGTCTTACGGTACGTCCGAGGAGTTCCGGGACGGAAGTGCCTGTTCTCCTTCCCCTGCCCCAGGCAAGGGTCTGGGCTGTTCAGCTTCCCATCTGCTCCCGGGAAGACTGGCAGCCTCCTCGGAAACCCCAGGGGCAGTACTACTCCGTCCTACAGGGTTGCTGAGTCCTGGACTGGATGGCTGTGTGTGTGTGTAGGTGTATGTGCCATACCCCTGCTGTGGTGGTGTGAGTGTGGTGCTGTGGCCCTGCTCCTCTGTGAGAAAGTGACTCTCTGCGCAGGGATCCCCCAGGCGCCCTGGTTTTCCCAGCTGGTGACTCGAGAGGGCACTGCTCGTGGTGGGCAGGCCGCTCAGGGGTCTCACTTCAGAGGGAACACTACTCCAGGTTCAGGCCCCCCGCCTCCCAACACCCCCCACCCCAAGCCCCACTCTCAGCTCAGCTTAAACCAGGGAACCTGATCGCTTTTCTGAACCAGAGGGCCCGGTTGAATCTGGCTCCCTGCAGAAAGTAGGGTGCCCCCAGGCCTGCTTCCCCTGTTTGCCTGGAGTCAGAGCTCCCAGCAGCTGGTGTTCAGTGAGCCCTAGCCCAGCCTCTCAGGCAAGGATCTGTGAAACGCATGCCAACAACCCCCAACAGCCAGCCCAGTGTTGCCCAGTGCTGCTGACGCTGTCCGTACACTGAAGGGAGCAGACTGCCTCTGCTCCCACCCAAGATGCAGCCGGTGGGTGGGTTTGCACCACCGGCCCAGCGCCTAACCCCCTGCGGCACCGGGGTCTCCCCCGAAGGCCCGTGCCTTTTCTCCCGGTGGCAGTGTGCAACACCCCGTGGGCGGGGCGCTCACGGCTGCCGCTTTTCGCTCAGGTACCAGCCGGAGCAGCCCAACCTCGTGTACCAGATGGCCCGAACCACAGACGAGCTGGACCCCGTGGACCACCACGAGCTGGTGTGCACCAGCGACTCCCAGACAGGGTTTCTGCCACAGGCCAAGTTCTCCCTGAAAGGCATCCTGTCGCCGCCCAACACGGAACCCTCCAGAATCTCAGGGCTCACTGTGAACATCGCCACCAGCCTCATAGGTAAGGGGTCGGGTGCCCGCCCCACCGGGGACAGCGTCTGGACCGTGGGAGCGGCCGCCTCACGTGCCCCCTCCCTCCCCCGCCCTCCCTCAGCTGCCCTCATCATCCTCTTCTGCCTGGTGGCTGTGCTGGGCAAGGAGGCGCTGGCGGCTGGCGAGCTGTGGGCCATCTTCCTGCTGGCCGGCTCGGCCCTCCTCTGCACCGTGGTCACCGTCATCATCTGGAGGCAGCCCGAGAGCAAGACCAAGCTCTCCTTCAAGGTGACCCGCAGGCCCGGGCCGGCTGGGGTAGGGTGTGGGCAGGGCTCCTGGCAGGAGTCAGAGACATGGTGGCCTGCGGTTGGGTGTGTGTCCAGGTGGTGTGTGTGTGTGTTTTGGGGTGTGGGGGTGTGTATTACGGTTTGGGGTATGTGTTAGAATGCAAGTGTCTTTGTGTTGGGGTGCGTGTTGGGGAGCAGGGCGTGTCTGCTTGGGTGTGGGTGTGCGGGGGTGTGTGTTGTATGTTGGGGAGTGGTGGGTGGGTGTTGGGGACTGAGACATGTGTTTAGAGGTTCAGGTGTGTTTCAGTGTGGGTTATATGTTGGGGTTCGAGTGTGTATTGGAGACCAGGATGTATGTATTGGGGTGGGGTGTGTATGTTGGGGGTTGGGATGTTCACTTGGGGTGTTGGGTGGTATGTGTTGAGGCGTAGGTTCATTGTTGGGACTGGGCTGTGTGCATTGTGGTGTAGTGTGTGTTGGGGAGCAGGCTGTGTGTGTTGGGGATATGGGTGGGGAGGAAGATCTCCCATGTGGGCACCGGCACTAACTCGCCGTGCCCTGGGTGCCAGCAGTCCTGTTTTCCTGAGCGCTGCCCATGCGTGTGTGTGCACACAGCCCCTCTGACCCTCCCCCCCTGGTCTCTGGACAGGTGCCCTTCCTCCCTGTGCTGCCCACCCTGAGCATCTTTGTCAACGTGTACCTCATGATGCAGCTGGACCAGGGCACGTGGGTGCGCTTTGCAGTCTGGATGCTTGTTGGTGAGTAGGCCGGGATGCGCCCCGAGGGCACACACGCACCTGCTAGCCTGGGTGGACTCAGAGCCCAGCGGTCAGTGGCTGCGTGCGTGCGTGCGTGCGTGGACATACATCCCCAGGCTCTCCTTCCGAGGCCCCTGGGGGTAGATCAGGACTTAGCACCCTCAGTGGGCTGGCAGGCCAGCGCCAACAGTGACTGAGAGGCAGCTGTGCTGACCAAAAGGTTGGGGGCTGGGCCATGGAAGAAAGGCACGTGTTGTGTTTCCAGGGTCACCGCTGTCTGTGACACGTGGGGCTGTTGTGTCAACTGACACACCTGGAACTGACTCACGTGGGGCTGACATGCATGGCTGACACACGGGGGCGGGCGCACAGAGGTGACTGGGTGACGCACGGGGGCCGGCACACAGAGGTGACTGGGTTTGGGGTGACACATACAGGAAGGAGGGCCAGCCTCAGCCTCTCACGACCCCCCCCTCCCCCTCCATCCCCAGGCTTCGCCATCTACTTCGGCTATGGCCTATGGCACAGCGAGGAGGCGTCCCTGGCAGCGGGCCAGGCGAGGACTCCCAACGGACAGCTGGACCACTGCAAATGACAGGGCCACTCCAGCCCTGGGGACCCTTGGAGGCCGGGGCTTACCCACCCTCTCTCCCCCTGTGGGGCAGGAAATCCCTCCCTACAGAGAGCCCACCGCCTGTTCCCGCCCAGGCCTGAGCCCTTGGCCTCTGCAGAGAAGGTGCCCCCACTTCTCGCCGCTCCCAGGGACCCCTCTCCCAGGGCCGAGTCTGGTATTGAAGGCCAACGTGCTTACTCGAACTAAGGACAGCCACCGCCCTCCTCGGTCCTGGCCCGCCGCAGGGGGGGCCCCCCCGGCCACCTGGTCCTTGAGAATCAAACCTCCGTGGTGGGGTGTTGGAAGGTGACCCTCCACACACACACACACACACACACACACACACACACTGAGTCCACCTTCCCTTTAGGGCTCTGCTTGTGTATACACTGTGACAGGCCCTCAGAGGACACCCTGGGGCCCCCAACAGTATCAGGAGTGGGGGTCACATCTGGACAAAGGGCAGGGTGGCCACCCCAGAGGCTTCCTGCCCCACTGCTAACGGCCCAGGCTGCTCCAGCTGCTGCGCACAGGGTCCCCTAAGGCTGTGGCCCGTGAGATGGCAGCAGGGGCAGAATGAGTAAGAGGAGGCTGTGGGAGGGACTGGCCTCCCCTGGCTGGAATTCGTTTTTGAGGGTCTTCCCCAGCCTGGTCCTTGAATTCCGGAATGACTGGTTGGCCGTCTGGACCTTGTAAGGTTTCTGAGGCAGTCGTGGGCCAGGGCCAGGGCCAGGGTGGTGGTGCCCAGTCCTCCCGGGCCTGCTGGCCCATGACGCCACCCTCCTGGCCCCTCTTCACGTATTATCCAACGACGTTTACTTAGGCAGGCGCTGCTGTGAATCACTCCACCATGCCAAGGCTGCCGATTCTTGTTCCCGGGAATGGCCGTGGCCTTTGCTCCGTAACGGGGCCTGCGGGCTGCTCAGGGCAGGGGGCTGGGGGGGTGGCGATGTTCTTCTGGTGGCCCTGTGACACGCTGACCCACGCCAAGCCTGGTCGACTGGCCCCTCACACCACACTCCACGAGGCCGGGACCCTCCCACACACTGCACTCCATCCCATGATCCTCTCGGAGCAGGAGCAGGGCGAGGCTCAGCCTCATTTCCGCACAGAATGCGACGCGGGAGGCGGACGGGCCTCCGTGTCAGTAGGAGATGACAGCAGTCAGCAGGCTGGACCGTTTGAAAAAGAGGAAATGTGTGTCACCCCCTCACCCCCACCCCTGTCAACCCCCTGCTGATCTTTGACCTCTGATAGAGGTCTGCTGCATGATGCCATTTTTCCTCCTGTCCTGGAGAGAAACGGCCACCAGGCTGTGAGTTGGTCTCCCAGGAGCCAGTGGGGAGGGGGCAGCGAGGCAGAGAGCCGAGGGGTCAGGGCTAGGAATGGTGGGGGTGGGGAGGGGTGACGGACGCCAAACCCCATTTGTGTGGAATGTCCCAGCCTCCATCAAAAGTCCAAAGCTTGGGTTTCCAAAGAAGGAAAGTCTTTAAATTTCTGCGGATTGGTGCTGTAAAATATTTTGATACATAATTAACTTATTTTGGATTGTCTGTTGCCCTCTGGGGGCCCCACACCCCCCGTGCTTGGTTGCGTTTCATTTCCTGTCGGGGTGAGGAGAACTCGGGGTGTGGTGGGACCCCCGTGAGGCGGGAGACAATTCTCCTATTTGGCTTTCCTCTTCCTGGCTGGAGCTCCCAAGGAGGCCATCTCTGACGGGTGACCTTTTAGCCACGCGCAGCCTGCAGGGAGGGGGCTTCGCAAAGCTGCCGGGAGGATGAGATTAAAAGACCAGGGTTTTCCCCTCGGACTTCCGAAGCCCCGGGGCAGACTGGGCAGAGGAAAGGATAAATCATTGATTCTTTCCCCCCCACCATGACCCTTCTGAAGCCCCTGGCCTGTTACCCGATAAAGGGTGCGTGTCCCCATTGGGCTGCTTACCTGGCAGTATTGGGCCCCCCCACCCTGAGGCTTGCGTGCTCCAGCTGGCCCCGCAGGAACGGGGCACGGAAGAGGACACCCCCACGCCCAGGGAGACGCGGCCGCGGCACCGCTAGAGGACACTTGCTGGCAAGGGTGGCGTGTGGCTCCTTGGGTCACAAACCAGTCATGGGCGATGCGCTTGGGCTACAGCGTGCACACTGGTGCAGGGTGGCCAAGGATCCCAGGCCGCCCCCGTCTGCTGTCCCTGGTAGGAATCGGCCTCCGCTTGGGGGGGTCACCATCCATCAGGGCTTCCTCGTGTGGAGCCCCCACCCCCCAAAGGTCCAGGTCTGAAAGACCCGTTTGGGGTGAAGAGACCTCGGTGCTGCCTCGCGGACCTCCAGGCCCGCGTGTTTCCGTGAGCCGGCAGGGCCCCCACTGCCACTCCAAGCAGACACCCCCACCCAGCTTGGGCCCAGGGGTCCTCAGGAGAGATGGATGGAAGGTGTCTCCAAGGACACAGCTGGGGAGGCACCCCCACTCTGACTCCAGGCCGGGGGTGACCAGCGGGGTGTGGGCGCACAGACACGAGTCTCCGCGGAGGGACGGCTGAGGACACCTGGCCACAGGTGGGTGGACGGCGCAGCCAGGCACACTGGATTGCATCCTTGGCATCGGGACGTGCGACGGGCTTCGAGGTGGCCGGTCCACGGCCCCCCGCCTTCGCCCACTGCTCCGATGCTGTGTCCCCCTGCACCCATGCCTCGCCGCTCCTGGTCACCCCACCCCAGGGGTGGGGACCCCCGGGAGACAGCGTCCGTCGCACACAAAACGCCCAGACCGACTTTCTCAGGGGATTCTCGGGTCCAGCCCGATGGGCGACCAGACTTGGCTCATATCTGAACGAGGTGTTCGGCTGCCCCTTGGGTGACAAGGGAACGTTGACGCTGGGGACTTAGTTTCCCGCTTAAGTCTCTGTGCCATGCAGACCCCCTGTGTGCTCACCCACCACGCACAGGAAGATGACTGTCAACTGCGTCATTACGTCGTGTATTTCTGCGTCCTGGGTCTCGGGAGCCCGGGCTAGGTCATCAAGGAGGACTGGTTTATCAAACCGATAAGGGCAGTGGTCCCTCCCCATGGACATCTGCATCTCCCGATGAACACGGAGCCAATTTACGAAAGGAGGGCCACTGCTGTGTTTGGGTTTCCCCCCCTAATTTTTAATTATGTGAATTGTATATTTTTTGCTCGTTCGGATGTTCTATTTTTCTAATAGGTTTTGTTTTGTTTTTTAGAGTTTATTATAATTGTGATATTAGATTTTGATTCTGATGCTAATTTCGCAAATCGGGCTGGTCTCTGGGCCCCTCCTGTCTCCATTTCTTTCATCCCCCCCATTTTCATTGTTTTTTTTTTAAGGACAAGTCTAGGTGTCGTCCACCTGCCCCCTACCCCCAAATCAAAACAAAAACCCGTGAACCTCTCTTTTTGTTGCCTTTCTGCCGACCACACTGTATCTTGCTAACTTCCGGCCGGCCTCTCTTGTAAAATCAGCCGTTGTTTAATGGTACATCATCTCACACTTCTGCCACTTCTAATAAATTATGTCCGTAGCTTCATCCAGCCTCCGGTGTAAGTCTGCCTCGTGATTCCGAGAGTTCGGACGCGCTCAGCTTGCAGGTCGGGGTTCTGGTCAGTTACCGCTTGGCAGAGTGCACCGGCCAGACATTCTGGCACAGAGCGGCGGGGGGCTGGGTTTGAACAGCCCACCTTTGAGGGTAGCTGCTGACCCCTGAGCCGTTGGGCCATCACATCCTGGGAGGGACCCCGCAATTCTCTTGCTTTTCCACGACTGGGGTCCCATGCCTGGAATCCCCCACCCACTTCCTCCCACACCTGCCCCCTCAGTCATCTAATGGGTTCTGGAGCTGTAAATCTTTAGACAGCGTCCTCCAGCTCCTGAGGAAAGAGGTGGTGGGTTTGAACTACTCACCTTGGGGTTAGCAGTGTAACACTTAGCTGACAGGGTAGGGCCTCTGGTCTCCCACCCCCACTCTGAGACTGTTGGGGGCTGTCCCCTCAAGCCACCAGTCTTTGCGGCCCCTGCAGGATGTCCATGTGGCTCTGGAGTAAAATGGGACCATTTGTAAGGGCTATTACTCAGATCAACGTGATCTCATTTGTCAGTGGAACTATATTTCTCTCTCTCCAATACTTTCACAATTGTGAGAGCTGTAAGAAACAGCCATGAAAACAGTTTATTAAAGAAAAGGAGGAAAAATTGTGCAGGACAGGCTTGGCTGGTTCTTCAGTGTCAGAGGTTGGCCAACCCCGGGTCTAGACCATAGGTTGACAAACTTAATTGACCCCGCCACCCCTTTCTAGAACAAAATGGCGCAGCGCCCCCTAACAATGGGAACCGTGTTCCACTCCAGCCCACCATCGGATGAGGTGTCCACCCACATGCCTGTTGCAGCCTCCACCCCAACCCCCGGCTTCATTCCAGCACTGGCCTCCAGGGGTCAGTATTGCCCACTTCAGGAAACACTCCCCGGGACTAGGGATGCTCCAGACCTTTGACGCCTTAACCCGGTGGGAGTAAAGCATGGAGGCTTGCAGAGGGGAGGGGGTCAGCGATCCTAATCAGTCTTGATGTTTGACTACCTTGTCGGGCCCCTTTGAAAGGAGCCCTGGTGGTGCCATCCGCCAAGCTCTGGGCTGCCAACCACAGGTTGGTGGTTCAAACCCGTCAGACGGTGCTCAGGAGAAGGACGAGGCTGTCTGCATGAAAAGTAACCATCTTGGAAACCTTAGATAAGGTCGCGATGAGTTAACTCGGCGACCCTGGCTTGGGGGTTTGGCTTCATGCCCTCTCGAGAAAGCAGGCTTTCGCCCAAAGCCCAGCCAAGGCCACTGCCATGGGGTCAATGCAGATTTTCAGAAGTTATGCACTGGGCTGCTAACTACAAGGTCAGCAGTTCAGAACCACCAGCCACTCTGAGGGAGACAGAGGGAGCTTCCTACTCCCATAAAGAGCATCTCAAAACAGCACAGAAGAAACATGTCCTGAAAACAATTGAGGAGGTGAGGGCACACATCAGCTGAATATAGCTGAACGATTTAATCGTATGATCTGTGGAAAGTACAATTTTTTTTTAATTAGGAAAAAAAGTGTTAGTCTTGGAAATCCCCAGGGGCAGTCCTCTGTCCTACAGGGTCACTGTGAGTCGGCATCGACTCGCCAGCCGTTAGGTTTGGGTGCAGGTCAGAGTTGAACTGCCCCAGAGGGTTTCCAAAGGTCATCTCCATGGAAGCGGCCTCATCTTTCTACCATGGAGTGGCTGGGGGGCTTGAACCACCAGCCTTGTGGTTAGCAGCCCAGTGCTTAACCCCATGGGCCACCGGGCCTCCAGCATTTATTTATCTTTAAACACAGGCGGCAGATTTGCTCAAGTGGACGTCAGTCCTCGGCCGAGATGCCCAAGTGATATCCCAGTGATTATATGACAGGCAGGTTGCTCAGGGCATGACCAGTGCTGGGGGTGGGGTGGGGGTTTCGGATGCCCAGGACAGCTGGCAGTTGGCTCCCGTGTGTCCTATAGGGAACTCATGGCTGGCGTCAGTGTTTGTGCTCAGACGGTGCCATGTGAGGTGACCGCAGTCAACCGGGCATGTAATGACATCCGGAAGGAGTTTCCCATCCTGCCCCCGGGGTCATATCGTCCTAAGCGTGCTTGTCACACCCCTTGAGGTGAGGGCCCTCCGTGTGTGGGAGGCAGACTGGGTGCTGCCGCAGCGACCCAGAGCCTGCCCCGGGATTCCAGTATCCCTTGTCCTTGGGGCTCTGCAGGGGACTGGCCCAGGAAGCCTGAGGGAGGAGCGGTTCCTTCAGGCACGCACTGCCGCCTAATGGCCAGAAGTGGTGCTGGGGCCATGCTGGGACCCACGACGGCCTCACCTGTGGGGTCAGGGTTTGGTGTGGACTGCCAGGACTTTGTGGGTTGTCTTTAACTGCCAACCTTTCAGTTAGCAGCCGAGAGCGGTAACCGTTTGCACGACCCAGGCCTTCAAAGGCAGACCGACCAGGCCCACTCAGGTCACTTCCAACTCAGAGAGCCTGTAGGTCAGAGGGCTTCGGAGGCAGTACGTTTTTATAAGAACAGGCAGCCTCATCTTGCTCTCGCAGAGCAGCTGGTACGTTTGAACCACCAGCCTTGCCATCCACTCTGCCACCGGGGGGCGCTAAAACCAAACCCACTGCTACCAAGTGGATTCATGAGTATCAGTTTACAGAAGCACATAGCCAGGTCATCCTTCCAGGGTGCCACAGGTGGGTTTGGGGGCCAACCTTTCAAACCCCTCACGGCAGGGTCTTGCGCCCCCAGCCAGAGGAGAGGGTGCTGGGTGGTAGTAGAGAGCCTGGGAGCCTCGACTCTGGGGGATTCAGCAGACCCCTCCTCAAAGTGGAACCCTCTCCTTTGACCAAGGTCCTGGCGGCACAACCGGGTTAAGCATTGGCTGCTGACGGGAAGGTTGGCAATTCGAGCCCGCCCATTGGCTGCATGAGAGAAAGCCCTGGAGATCAGCCCCCACACCCCCCATTAAGCTCACCACCCTAGAAACCCTGTGGGGCTGCTCTACTCTGTCCTGTGTGGTTGCCATGACAATGCCCGCCACCACGCCATAAAGGCAGCCGTTCAAACCATCCTTTGCAAAGGGCTTCTTTAAAGCTCCCTGCCCTCGAGTCCACTCGGACTCACCGTGGCCCTGTTGTGCAGTTCAACCTGCCCGCGTCTCCAAGGCTCTGGCTCTTTAGGGGAGCAGAAAGCCTCATCTTGCTCCTGCGGAGCGGCAGGAGGTTTTGAACTGCCAACCTGGAGGTTAGCAGCTCAACGTGCAACCACTCTACCACCAGGCTCCCTTGGTTTGGTTGCGTGACCGGCAGATCATTAACCCAGCAGGTGGTTGTTAGGCATCACAGGTTCGATTTTGGTGCCTGTGACTCAACCCTGTGGGGCAGACTGGTGGATGCATGCGGTGGGTTTCAACTGGCAACCTTGTGCCCCCGGGGCTTCTGGCCAGCCTCATGGACCCTGCCACCACCCCCACAAACCCACCCCCAGGGAACTGGCACACCACGTAGGTGTCTCCTTTGGGACCTGCAGGCACAGATGCACTGCTCTGGGAGAGGCTGGCTGCCCCGCCTGGAGGCTGGAGGGAAGGGTGGGGCAGGGTCTTTTGGTGGGAATGGGTGCAACCCTCTGCACTTGGGTCTGTCTCAGGGACAGCCAGGCATCCCCAGGGCCCTGCGGCTTGAGAAAGCCCATGGCAAGGAACAGGTGGACCATGGCAGTCCCCTGGGATGGTCCTTCTCACCCTGCAGCCTGTGAGCAGGGTCCTGGGATGGTCCCAGCGCCACCCCTCCTCCCCAAACAAAGGAAAACTCACTGCCATCGAGTCAATTACAACTCCTTTGTGGGTAGAACACCCGTGGGTTCTGAGGGTGTAACTCCGCACAGGTGTAGAAAGCCTCGTCTTCCTCTGGGTCCAGGCCCAGGTGGGCTGAACTTTGGTTAAATCCACCTCTCGTCGGGGTGTACCAGGATGCCTAACTAGGTCCGAGTTTGTCATAGACGGGGATAGGGCTGGACATAATCTGTTGTGTCCTAATTTTGGGGGACTTGGTTGCGGCCCCCCAACCTACTAGAGGGCTGTAGGGAGGGCACAGCCCTCAGCTTGCCCAGGTCTGGGCGGGTCCGTGGGGATGCTGCACACATCCTGCTGAGGCAAGGGTGGGGGTCTCTGGGGGCAGACTCAAGTGGGCACCACACACATTCCCTCGAGTTCTTTTTAATATGCTTCAGAATTGAACACAAAAAATGCAACACAGGAATTGTAGGGGTGCGAGAAAGGGGCACTGGGTCTTCATTCAGATAGCAACAGAGTGCGTCCGACCTCCACCCCCCAACCTGCCCAGTGGCCAGCCATCCAGCGGCCAGCCCCAGCACACAGTGGGCAAGGTGCAGGGGTGGGTGGGGGCACAGACATGTCTCCCAGGCGACGGGAGGAGGTGGTGCTGGTGGGCGTGGCAGGAGCAGGCGAGAGCGCAGCCTCTGCTGGTGGAGCCGTTCTTGCCTGGGGCGGACGGACGAGAAGATGACTTCCTTGTCTAGTGACATGGGGCTAGGAGGCGTGGGAGGGGGTGCAGCAGTGGCCACCTCCATGTGGCATGGGAGAGGTGGTGACATCAGGGATGAATGGCCAGGATAGAACAAAAAAGGAAGCCAGGGCAAAGGGAGGGTTCCCTAAAGTACCAAGGTCAAGGCAGGCTAGGATGAATACTGCCTTGGCGTTGACACTACCACCACGTGGACTATGACTGACAGGCACAGGGCCCCAGCCTCCTAACGTCACCTAACCCTAGCGTAACCCAAGCTAACCTAACCCCGAATCTGTATTGCTGTGCTACTGCGCTCCGCAGACGCGTTTCTGCAATCGGTTCCTGGTTCTGAGAGTTCAGCTGTGGCCCAGCGGGTGTCTGCAGGTGGTGCCCAAGTGGGGGGATACATCGATAAGGGTGGCAGGGGGACTGGTGAGTGGGGCGCGCTCTACTCTACTGGAACGGCCACCTTGAGCCAACGTCGTCAAGCAGACAGGGCCACTAAGAGAAACTGTGTCTGCACTGTACACTGACCATGTAGGCCCTAGGGCAGACAAAGGACCCGTGGGGGCTTGCTGGAGATGGGGTGCCCCTGAGGCCCGCCAGCCCAGCTTTGAAGCAGGCCAGGGACAGCCCCCTGCCATAACCAGGTTTTCGGTTATGGCACCTGTGGGGGGACTCTGGATTCACTGAGCCCCCTCTGGGTGGGGGCTCAATCTTCCCCGCTTCCTGGTTTTGGCCAAATAGGATTCCTGTGTGGGTCTTCTTGTGTCAGGCATGCGCAAGACGGGGTGTGCTCAGAACGTTGTTTACAGGGTCTTGGGGGAGAAGTGCAGGGTCTTGATCACACACAGTAAATAAAGGTATCATCATTATCATCATCACCACCGCCACGTCAAGGGTTCAAACTATGTCTTTGAGCACCATGCTCCTAAGCTTCCACGGCTGCACTACGCACGTGAACACACTTCACATCCTAATGCTACTACTGCAGAGACGAGCAACTAGACCAGGAACCAGGAGCGCTGGCCGGCTGCGTCACGGTGCTCCCCTCTTGGGGAGACCCTCCTCAAAGGATGGGGCCCTGGTCAGGAGGGGCTTTGCTCCATCACCTGGGCTTTGGGGATCAGATAACTCGGTCCTGCAGGACGCAGGAGTTGCTTTCCTGGAAGCCCCTGGTGAAGCCCCTGGTCATCTTCATGAGCACTGATGGGCGGGGTGCTAGGATCAGAGATGGGGGGTGGGCGTCGCCCTCCATCAGGCCCCCACTTCTGTGGCTGACCACTCATCCAACACGCCGCCAGGGCAGAGCGCACGTTCCCTCTCGGTGCTGCGTCCAGAGACAGGCCCCCTCCCATACAGTTCCCCACCTTTGCAAGGAAGGGGCTCAGACGGTCTTGGGGCCTGACAAGGGCATCCTGCCCTTGGTTGATTTTGTTTCCCCAGGGGACAATGACTGAGTGACTGATTCCAAGATGTTACCAAGGAGGAGCGCGAGACAAGCGTATGAGGGCTAGAGAGGAGTCCTGGCACGAGCAGCCCCTGACCAATGCTGACCCCTCTGGGGTCCCCACTCGAGACAGGGCTGTGCCGAATGAAAACTTGTGGATGGACTAGGAGAGACCTGACATCCTGCCGACTGGGGAGGGACCGTTTCATAAATCGCTGGTGTGCGGTTTACACAAGGGTCCCACGTGGCGGTAGGCTGCAAAGGTGCTTCTGCTGTGGTTTCTTTTTTGTTTGTTTGTTTTTTAAATATTTTTCCTTTTTTTCCTATTTTCTGGGTAGAAATTTTTCTGGGTAGAAATATTCCTGGGAAGCTCGATAGAAATGCGTTTTCATTTCCCAATGATTCTGAGGCACGCGTTAGAAAACTGCTGACGGTCATGAAAATAGGTCAGCGCTTCTTGTGAGAATTAAAAAACAACGCCATTGGGCATAGCTGCGCCTGTCTACAAGTCGTCTCCGCACGGGCACCCCACTTGGCGCGGGGCCTGAAAGCCCCCTAGGGAGATTCAGAATGGAGCGGTGCGTCACCAGCCTGGAAGTCTGCGTTGGACGGTCCTCTCGAAAGAACAGGTCATGGCCACGGGTGGTCTCTCTCTCTTGGCTAACGGCGGCGGCACGTGGCACATCGGCCAACACCTGCCCACGTGTGTGCCCGAGACAGTTGTGCCTGGGACGCAGATGAGGGCTCTGCTAGCACACAGTGATGCCACTACTGAGCATGCGGGCAGGGCCAGCACCGCGACCGACCGCGCTATCAGCTCCTCGGGCTAATTCTCCCCGTGGAGGGAAGCGCCCAGGGGGGCGGAGAAGCCAGCCGGGCACTGCAGGCTGCAAGGCGGCGTCATCTCGGCGTGGTGCTGACCCTGGCTGGAGATGGGGGGCCGGAGGAAGAGCAGCGGTAAATGGGGGATGTGGGGGACAGTTTGACCGGGCTGGTCGGGTCTCCGGTTTGCAGTTTCCAAAGCAGCTCTTCGTTGGTCCGGCTGAGCCTCTTCTTCTCCTGGGTTTCTTTCTCCACATATTCCTGGAGATTCGCGTTTTCCTCCGACAGCTGTCTGCAAGGGGAGGGGGCGGTGTCACCGGGCGCCAGGCAGCCAGGCATGCCCTGGAGACCTTGGTGGCCAGAGGGAAGTGACACAGGGTGGGGGGAGGGGGAAAGGGAAGCGCCAGACCCACGGATGGAGCAGCATTTCAGCAGGTCTCCTTGGCATTTCCATCCTGGAGCCTCTGCACCCAAACCTAGTCCCCTCCCAGCCCCTCTGACCAGATCAGGGGAGGTGCTGGCTGTCCTCTAGGGGCCAGAGCTGCGCTGAAGGAGAGAAGGGGCGGTGGGGAGCCAGTGTGAGGGGTGGGTGGGAACTTCCGGGGACTTCTATCAGCAATAATCTTAGCACACAGGGGGCCACTGCATGGGGCCTCTCTGGCCTGCCATGCTGTGTCCGAGATGCCTCTCCTGTCTCCATGCTACTCAGCCCTGCCCCCCATCTCAGCAACCCCTGCCTGGGCGTGTCTGCTTAGAAGGGACCGAGTCTTTTCATCAGGGAACTGCCAGGCCCCGAGGAGTTTCTCTGCACACACTTTCTGAGAAGACAGGAGGAGGAGGAGACCTACTGTGTGCCCGCCATCAGGAGGCCCCAAGCAGCCACAGTGGTGCAGTTGTGCTATCTGAAAGGATAGCAGTTTGCACCCACCGGCGCTCAGCTCCAGAGGGGTGTCTGAGTGCGTCAGACCGCCCGTGCTGCGGTGTGTGGGAACAGAAGGGTCTGAGCGTGGAGCCTGAACTCACATCTACGACGTTGCCATCACTCTAGAATCCATGTTGGATCCCACAAACTTCCTTTGCTCCTCGAAGGTCCTCGGACCTCGAAGCTGACCCACCCACAGACCCTAAAGGAGACGTCCCCTTTCTCTGAGGCCTGATCGGAGTTTATTCCCGGAGGGTCTTTCCTCAATGTCAGGCAGGTGCACGAAGCCATCTTGACGATGGAGGGACCCCCCAGAAGCAGACAGCATGCTGGAGACAGCAATGGGCTCTCACAGGGTACCTGAGACGCCTGTCCTGGGGCCATCGTGTGATCCACCGTAGGGGCTGCACGTTTGCAATTGCGTCCCCGTCACCGATCCTGTAAGCCCTCTCCCGTGGTGCGCACGGTCCCTGCTCGGTCCCCACTTGTACAGAGCTTGCCTTTCAGCCCCCCAGGACCACGGGCTCCCAGCTTCTGTTCTCCCTGCACACACACGTGTTTCCCCCACTGTCACTCCGCAAATCTGGACGACTTGCCCGGATGGTCTCGATGCCCATAAACCTCTGCTGAGTTCTCTTTAAGCCGACTCCAGGCTGAGGGACATGGGAGCCACTTGGGAACCCCGTGGAACAGTTCTACTCTGTGCTACCATGCTGCTCTGCGTGAGAATCAACTCGATGTCAGTGGGTCTACAGACCCCTCCCGGCAACAGGCAGGGAGAGACAGGAGCTGGTCACCCAGGCCTGTCCTGGAGGAAAGCTACCAGCACTATGCACTCAGCCCCCAGCTGGGCTCCCAGTCAACAGGGTTCCTGGGCCTGAGAGGCTCCTGTATTGGTGAGAATTGGGTGGGAGGGGGAGCTGCCGGTCCCTAGGGATAATGGTGGCCCTGAGCTGGACCCTCTTTCAGACTCTGCTGGCTCATGTCTTTGCCTGTATCCTTTCTGGTTTCCGTCACCGAGCAACAGCAGGCCCAGGTGGTCTCTGCGCACTCTGGGAGTCATGCTGACGGCTGGTTTTCCCCTGCCTGTGGGACAGGGGCTGGGACCCGGGTCCGACTGTGTTTCAGGTCAGAAACAGAAAGTGCCACTTGGGTGGTGGTGTTGAGAGACAGCTGGAGGCAAGAGTCTTCCGTGGGCCACTGCTCACGCAGAGGGGATCACGGGTACAGCTCAGTGTGGGTGGCCATGGCATGTTCTGGCATGTTCCACCCACTCTGTCCTGTGACCAGGCCGAGTCTGCACTGCCTGGAAGACACTCAGAAGCAGTTAGAGCCCTGACGTGACGGCTGGTGGCTTGATTGTGCCTGGCTACACCTGGGCAGACGGTAGTCCTCTTGGAAACCTCTGTGGTCTGACCGCCTCCTGAAACGAGTCCTTAACCTCTCTGAAGGTGGGTGTGGAGGGTGGAGCACTCATTTGTCCTGTGGGAACACAGTGGGTCAGTTCTACCCTGTCCTATAGAGTTGCTTGTGAGCAGGAATCAATGGGGTTTGGGTTTAGGACCCCCTAAACCATGGAGAAGGCAATGGGCTCCGTGGGTGGTGGCTAGGTTTAGCCTTCCATCCAGCTAGGGAATTCCCAGCGACTGTGTGTGCTAGCCCCCACCACAGCTCAGAGGTGATGAGCACCCTGGACTCGGAGCAAACACAGAGCCCTGGAAGGCGGGTCACACGTGCGGGTCACATGTGCGCGGCCTACCTGGTGACGACGGTGTTCTGGTCGATCCGGGCCCTGAGGTCTTCATTCTGCTGCCGGAGGACCTGGATCTTCTCTTCCAGGATCACATTCTTCTCGGCCTGCAGAGGGACGCAGCGGGCTCAGCACAGTCTCCGATGGGAGCCGAGTCTGAGGCCTGATGCTCATGCCCTGGAGGGGGTCCGGGCTCTACAGGGCTCCCAGGGACTGTGCTGCACACCCTGCCGCCGGCAATCTAACTGGGATCCCAAGCCATGGTCCAGGGATGTCAGACAAATCACGCCAAAGAGAAAGCACCTGGGAGAGGTGGGTGGAAAGCAGGGATTGCTGCGTGAAGCTCTCAAACAGATGACACAAAGGGGGTGGCGGCAGAGAGTTCCGGGGGAGATGGGACAGAAAGACAAGGCATTCCCCCCCAACGTCTTGAAGTCCCTTGTCCCCCCAGATAGATCGATAGCTACATGGACATAAGAATAAAAATTAAAGCCACTGCCACAGAGTCCTTTCCGACTCCCAGCCACCCGATGAAGCTTCCCGAGGCTGTAAGCCTTCCCGGGAGCAGACAGCCTTCCCCTTCCACTGGTCGGCTCAGCCTGTCCATTATGTGTCCAACAAGTCGCTGGGGTGTCATCGGGGCTGCTGCTTCTCCTACCCCACCCCACCCCACTCCCGTCCCCTGCCCCCGGCTCCTGGTACTCTTCGGTCTTATCCTAAGGTATATGAACCACTCTTCCTTTTCTTCGTCCTTCCTTATAATAACGCTGTCATTCAATATTGGCCTTTACGAGGCTGATTAAGTTTGCTAAGCTTAATGTTCTCTAGTTTCATCCATGTCTTGTGGAGTGTTGTCAATGTACAAATATACTTGATACAATGGATGGATGGAGGGAGTGTGTTGATAGTTGAACGAGCCCCCAATAAACTGATTTGAAAAGAGTGTGGTCGAGGCACTTAGGGTTCAGTATAGCAATAATGAAGCCCACAACCTTCCTCTGGTTCTTGAACGCTTCCTCCCCCCAACTACCAGGACCCCAATTTTGCCTTGCAGACCTGGTTGGACCAGATGATGCACAGCGGTACAGACGGGAATTGGAAACGCAGGGAATCTAGGACAGAGGAACCTCTCAGGACCAGGGGTGACAGTGGCGATACCAGGAGGGAAAGGGGGTGTAGAAAGGGGGAATGGATCACAGGGAGCTACGTGTGGCCTCCTCTCTGGGGGACGGGCAGCAGAGGGGTGGGTGAAGGGAGACGCCGGACAGTGTAATATAAGATACAATAATAATTTATAAATTATTAAGGGTGCATGGGGGAGAGGGAAGGAGGAAGGGAAGTGGAGGGGGGATATAAAAGGAAAATTAGCGGGTTCCGGGAACCCAAGAGGCTAGCAAATTTTGGGAATGATGAGGGCAACAAATGTATAGATGTGCTTTACACAATTGATCTATGTATTGTAATAAATTGTATGAGCCCCAATAAATTGATTAAAAAAAAAGAGTGTGGTCATTGTTTATCGATGCATACTATTCCATTGTGCGAACGTACCGGAGCTTGTATATCCAATGCCCTATGATCCGCGTGTCAGGCGGGCTCCATGTCTGTGCTATTACGGAAACTGCTGCAGTAAACAGGTGTGCAGATGTCTGTCCGTGTTGCAGTCTTGATGTCTTTAGGGCATACGCCCAGTAGAGGGACTGTACAATCCTCAGGGGCTTGTGTTTGCATCTGTTTAAGGAAGCGCCACACTGTTCTCCAGAGGGGCTGGACAGCTCTACAGCCCCGCCAGCAACGTAAGCTCGTTCCCATCTCCCCACATCCTCTCCAGCATTTAGTATTTTCCGAATTTTGCTAAGCACATCAGCATGAGGTGCTATCTTGTTGTGTGTTTCTCTTATTGCTACTGGATGTGAACATTTCTTCACATGCTTTTTGGCCACATGGGGGCCATCTTAAATAAATTGTCTGCCCATTTTTGATTTTGGGCTATTTGTATTTCTTACTGAGAGGGTATAGTTTTCTATAGATTTTTGAAATTAGCCTGTTAACTGATGCATCATTACTGATTTCCCCCCGGTCTGTGGGTTCTTTCAACTCTTTTGATGTGCATAAAAGGGCTTCTTATATCCACATACATATGTTGACATATATGATAGGTACACATATAATAACTCTACTATGTCTATATAGTAGAAGGGGCTTCAAAAATTCCATTTTCCCACAAGCATTCTGAAGCCCTCACATATAATTATAGATACTCTGTGCGGTTGTGTGTGTGCATATATGAGAAGCACCCTGGTGACATAGTGGGTTACGAGTAACCACAAGGCCAGCAGTTCAAACCCACCAGCTGCTCCAACGGAAAAAGATGAGGCTTTCCACTTCTGTTAAGACTGACAGTCAGGTCATTTCAAAGAGGGCTTGTGGAACTGAGACCAAGAGCTCTTAACGCTGTGACCAAAGATTAAGATTCTCCACGGAATGCCATCGTCACCCCATAATGCTACGTTTTCTCCAACAGTGGAGATACAAGATGGGGAAAAAAAGAGCAAAAAAAAAAAATAAATAAGTGACAGCCATAGAAACCCACAGGGCCTTTCGAATCTGCCCTGTAGCGCTGCTGTGAGTCAGAATCAACTCGATGGTGGTGAGGGAGTTTGAATGTGAACGGTATATGGAATTCTTACCCACTATGTGTTAAAGTGAGTGGCCACAAAAACACAGTACGCTGAGTTTCTGGTCCTGTAGCTGCGAACTGGAAGCCCTGGTGGCATAGTGGTTATGCGCTGGGCTGCTCACTACACGGTCAGCAGTTTGAAACCACCAGCCGTGCTGTGGGAGAAAGACAGGGCTTTCTACTGCTGTGAAGAGTGACAGTCTCGGGAATTCACAGGGGACAGTTCTACCCTGTCCTGCAGGGCTGCTGGGAGTTGGCACTGGCTCCGTGGCAGTGAGCTTGGTTTTTGGTTTGGCAGCTGTGAACAGAATCTTGTTTGGGAGCAAGGTTTTCTTCATGATGCTCAGGAGACAATCATAGATGAGGGTGAGTCCTACACCTTATCATTGCTGAGTTATGGAAACACCCGAGTAGACAGACAGACAGACAGACACACACACACACACACACACACACACACACACACACACACACACACACAGATGCCAGCAGGTCTGATGCGACAGATGCCAGAGGACCAG